CAAATCCTGGCAACCACCCCTAAGGGGGTGAAAGGGGGTAACAAAGAAATAGGGGTTGGTCCAAAAAGTAGAAAATCAAATATTTTTTTATGGTCTCCAAAGGGGTAACTCGTGAAAGTAGAGCCCTTTGGGCGAACATTTCGTCCGTTTGACCCTATCTTGCACCGTTTGGGCGCTAGAGTGCTTATTTCGACGAAATACGGCGAAAATGACCGCGTTGCTCATAAAGACGTACAAGGAGACGTCCAATCGTAAAATGTCAGAGAAAGTACCCCCCCAAAACAACACATTCTGCATCTGAAATTACCCTCGGATCTGCCGTATCTTTTACTATTTCGGCCCTAGAGGTAGATATATTGAAAACAATAGCAGAAAGTCAAGTTTTAAGACTGTTTGACAAACAATGTACAATCTAAAAACTGCACTGGTTCACCTTTTTTAATTCTTTAGCAAAGCAGAAGGGTGGGGTGTAGTCACGGTGTTGCCCCGTTACAGTCTCTTGTCATGTCCAGGGGTAAAATTTCTAGGGCCGCAGGCCCCTCGCCGGACGCTTTAGTTTACTCAAATATGCCAAGTGATTTACCGGTCACATTATTTATTTGATTATGCACTTCAGTAAATCGCGAGACTGAAATGGTCGGTCCAAAGGCCCGACCATCGCCGCCGGCAGGCCAAGCAGGCCCGGCCCCTGCCGAACGGAGTTGCCGGTGGAGCGAAGCGGAGCTGGCAACTCCGTTTGGCGGAAGGGCGGGCCTGCTTGTTTCGATCTGAGACCTTTCTTGCACGTTATTTCCTCGTTACTACTCCAATATTAATGAAGAATTAATTCTTCTTTAAAGATCTTTAAAGATCGACTTTGGTGCAACAGCTACAGACTCGACTCTTAAATTGATTAAAATTGTCGGAGAACTTAATACAATACCTCACAGACTAAAAACATAGTTAAATAAGCTGTGTTTTTAATCTTACCAAACATTACCTAAAATTACTGTAATTTACGGTAATTTACGGTAAATTACCGAAAAATGTTATTTTACCGGTAATTTTAAATCCCTAAACCTAATACCACCAAACTACGAATTCAAATAAAACGATCGCTTATTTCAAACATTTTATATCAAACTTCTAAACTAAACTCGATACGACCGGATTTATACTGATGCTTCGTGCGAAGTTTGAAGTCAATTGAAGTTGCCGTCTTTGAGAAACGTGTGTGATTACAGATAGACAGATAGACAGACAGACAGACAGACAGACACACAACCAAAGAGTTCCCTGCACCTCATGACAGCAAAGGCTTCGCTAACGCTCAGCCAATTATTTATGTATAATTTTTAAGTTAAGTATTGAGTATTTCAAGGTATCATCTGCTAAAAATGTTTTATTTATGATTTCCTGAGGGGTACATCGTAATATAGTCCAGGAAAGATAGCACAAAAACTGTCCAAAGCTGGAAAAAATCGCTCACACTTTTTTCCGACGGTATTCGACTCATAAGACCTTCCTTTACAACATATCAAAGTTCCCCCAAAATCCCCGCATTGGCATTTTTGTAGTGCCCTGTAAAACATAAACCTAATTTCATGAATTTCAGTCAAAACGTTCCGGTTGCTCGGACGGATTTTAAGGGGAGAGTATACTGAAAAAATTGATAAATCATCTAATTGATTGAATTAATCAAGTTAAAATCTAAACAAGAGACAAAATCAAAAAAGTACGCTATAATTGTCGTAGTATGCACTTTGGGGATTAATTTAAGGTATAGAATGCCAAAAGTCTGCCAAAAAACTGTGCGCACAGAAGTTTTAAAAGTTACGTAAACTTTTAAGTTGAAAAAGTTCCATGCGCAAAGTTTTTTGATGGATTTGGACATTCTATAACTTAAATGAGTTTTTAAAGTGAGTACTACTACTATTATAAACCACTTCTTTGATATTGTCTCTTGTTTAGATTTTAAGGATGTCAGTATACCCTCCCCTTAAATTGCAAGTAGTGCTAGTTTATATCAGTATTAGGATAAACAAGCATGCCCGCCCGCTTAAACCCGTCGTCTTTGAGTTTGCCCCAAAGACTCGAGAAAGGGATGTAATGGTGAAGCCCCGCGACTACAACCCACCCTTCTGCTTAGAAAACGTGTTTTGGGGGTGGAGGGAGAGTTTCCTATTTTGCGGTTTTTAGGCCTTTTTCTACAACTTATTGTTGACTATGGCAATTTTGAGCTTATTTTAGTCAAAAACGACCCTCTAGCGCCTAAACGGTCAGAGATAAAGCCAAACGGACGAAAATTTCGCTCAAAGAGCTCTATTTGGACGAGTTAGGGGAAGCTGGGGTCCCATGAGACACTTTTTGTTTTTCGGACCTGTAGGCCACAATTGTTGAGATATTTGAACTTTTAAAGTCGGGATTGAAAGTGTGGTTCATTGCCTGTCAAATGATACCCAAATCATATTTTTAGTTGCAACTCTTTTTCATACAGGAATAAATTTGAAAAAACCTTACAAAGTCACATGGGACCCCGGGCCCGGGGTCCCATGAGACTCGCTCGGGGACCCATGAGATACTTGTAACTTTCATAGTTAAAGAGGTAAAGGGACAGGAAAGAAATGTTCCTTCGTCAGTTAAATGCCTCAATAAAACAAAACAATCGTTTCAAAATATAATAAAACGGTTAATATTAAACAAAAAAAAATATTTGGCTAAATAAGAGGAAAACCAGTTATATTGGACTAATTACTCTGATACTTAGTGCGCAACTGCTTAAATCTTGCAACTGCAACTTAAAATTGAATGTATGCAAGTGTCTTACTCAGTAGTTCTTCACTTGCAAGTGTCCTTCCCCAAATGGGACCCCAGCTGCAAATGTCTCATGGGTCCCCAAGCCGCACATTTTCATTAAAAGTGGTATAGGGTGCATATGTTATGTGTGCGGATCGCGGTTCGGGTCTCAAATTGAAGAGGGAGGACCACTTGACAACAACATGAGACGTCCCGGCCGAAAAAGTAAAGTTTAATGGTGAAAAGCGAACGTGCCGTTCAATACATGAAATTTACTTAAGTCCAAAATATGGACTTGCCCAACTTCAGCTGGCTCTCACACCCTCCATATTCAAACCAGACCCTCGGCCTTGCAGCTACCAAGAACATACCTGGTAGGGTTGCAACTCAATTTTTTGTCAGCGCCTCCAACTTTTACTTTCTGAGATATCGCAAAAGTCTCATGGGACCCCAAGTCTCATGGGACCCCAGCTTCCCCTACCCCTTAGGAGAACATAAAAAAAATTGCTTCTCGGGAGAATTTTTGAACCTTAGATACCTCCATTCACACCCTTAGGGGTGGTTGCCAGGATTTGCCGTAGGCGTTTCGTTCTCTAGGAGTGGACCGAGGGGTGCCCAACTGAGGTAATCAGGTGTACACAGAGTAGGTAATCCCCGGAAATCACCGGTAATCATTGGTAATCACCAGTAATCCTTGGTAATCGCCGGTAATCCTTGGTAATCGCCGGTAATCCTTGGTAATCACAGGTAATCCAGTG